AAAAAAAAAAAAAAAAAAAAAAAAAAAAAAAAGAGTCTGGTGGAGAGTGAAATTAGGTCAACCTACAGAAAAGAATGGGAGAAATCAGAAAAGGCTTCCTGGAGGAGGTGGAAACTGTGCAGCATCTCAGGATGCGGAGGATTTGCATATGCAGAGCTGCAGGAAAGGACACTTCGGGCAGAGCAGGCAATACAGGACACTGCGCAAGGAAAAGAGCTGGAAGTTCTCGACTGCTGAAGTCATCCCAATGCCTGCAACTCCATTTCCTTCCCTAGGTAAGGCATTGCCTTTTGTCAGGTTCCTCCTTTAAATGATCATCTGGAGAGAGGGTGGCGGGTGGGGATTAGGGTAATAAGAGTGCTGGGGACTGGACAAGGTTTTCGAGGAGCAAGATTCATTCAGGAAGCCGTGCCCTGGGCGGGGACCAGGCCTGGGACCTGCAGCCTGTACCTTCTCGGCCTCCTTGGCACAGCGTTCCACCCGTTCCTGCAGTTTGCGCAGCTGCTCCTGGGAGACGGCGCTGTCTGCCTTCGCGTGGCTCTCCCTCGTCTGGGCTGTCTTCTCATCCTTCCGGGATGCGTGGTAGCTCTTCTTGGAAGCTTCAACCTGGCATGCACAAGGACCACTCTGGACCCTGGATGCCACGCCCTGGCCCCCTCGAGCCCTTGCAGACCAGGAAGGAGCCTGCCTCGAATACCTCTCCCACCGAGCCTCACCTCTTTCAGCCTCTTCAGCCACGGCTTCTGGGCCTTGCGGAAGCCATCCTCCGCTGCCCGGCTCTCACGGAAGCCGCCCAGCACAGGCCGGTGGAAGGCCCCCCGCTGCCAGGCGCGCACCCGCTCACTGTCCTGCCCTTGCAGCTTCTCCCGCACCTCCAGGTGCATCGCGCTCAGCCGCTCGGCCGCCGTGAAGAAGGCGTGCCAGGCCTTCTCCAGTGTGCCATACTGGGGGCCTGCGGGGAGGGACAGGGCTTGGGCCAGGCCTGGGTACCACCCAAAATGAACACTGCCCCTCTCGCTGGGCATGAGGTATGGAGACATGGGGTGCAAAGGTGAATGACAACCCTGTCAGCTGGGCTTATGAATCCTTGTCTCAGCCACCACCGTGAGGACAGTGACATTGTCAACACTGAACAGGCAAAACACTGAGGCCCAGAGAAGCGAACTTGCCAAAGCGTTACGGCTACAGGAGGAACTGAAATTCAAACCCATCTGCTGCATAAACACTACATCCTATGGCCTCAAAGGAGGAGCCTGTGTGTGCCCTCGAGGAAGACCGCGTGCGGAGTGGAAAGGTCCAGGCTCCCAGTCAGAGTGCCCGGGCTCAACCTTCAGCACTTCCTAGCTGGGTGCCATTAGGCAAGTCCTTTAGCCTCTCTGAACTTCCAGTTTCTCCTCTAGAAAATACATAAAACAGGCCAGGTGTGGTGGCTCACGCCTGTAATCCCAGCACTTTGGGAGGCCAAGGAGAGAGGATCGCTTGAGCCCAGGGGTTCAAAACCAGCCTGAGCAACATAGCAAGACCCCATCTCTACAAAAATTGCAAAAATTAGCCAAGTATGGTGGTGCATGCCTGTGGTCCCAGCTATTCAGGAGACCGAGGCGGGAAGATCACTTGAGCCTGGGAGATGGAGGTTGCAGTGAGCCAGGGATTGTACCACTGCACTCCAGCCTGGATGACAGAGTGAGACCCTGTCTAAAAACTAATAAATAATAAAGAAAGGAAAGAAGGCCAGGCGTGGAGGCTCATCCCAGCACTTTGGGAGGCTAAGACCTGAGGTCAGGAGTTTGAGACCAGCCTGGACAACATGGTGAAACCCCATCTCTACTAAAAATACAAAATTAGCTGGGCATGGTGGCAGGTGCCTGTAATCCCAGCTACTTGGGAGGCTGAAGCAGGAGAATCACTTTGATTTGAGAGGCGGAGGTTGCAGTGAGCCGATATCACGTGACTGCACTCCAGCCTGGGGGACAAGAGCAAAACTCCATCTCAAAAAAAAAAAA